AATCCAGAGGCAAGCTCCAAACCCAGGACAGGCCATGCAGCCCAACTACAGACCAACAGCACTTGAAGCTCAGGGCGAAAGTTCCATTCAAACACCTCCCCATCCACCAAGAGTGCATTACGGCATGCCTTTCCCAGTCACTGCCGCCCCAGAAGCCCGCCACGTTGTCAACCCTCAACTACCTTTGCCTTTAAACCAACCAGTCGTCGTTTACGACGGCCAAGGTATTCTGATAACCACTAGACACCCAGCAAGAGCACATACTCACCATATCGGCGACCCATACCCCGCCACACTTCCTGTTCCTAGGGCCTTATTTCATGGGTTCCAAATACCTTCACCACACATAACTGCCCAACCTCAGCAATCATACATGATTTTAGCCCATCAACCACTGCAGCATGCTACACCACATGCTCCAGCTCACTCCCACTCGGTTCACCACCAACCACGAGTATAACATCGCCCACACCTAGCCCAGAACGCTCACTTGCATCAGGTTAACACCCAACAGACCCCCACCACCCCCTCTGGTCATAACCGACCTCTAGCATATTTCTTACGCCTCACCCTCATCCCTATGAGTTTTAAAATCCCCACAAACATCCCCACATATGTTGGAGACACCGACCCCTTCGAATGGGTCCAAAAATTTGAAGCGGCAATGACTCTTCATGGCGAGACTGATCATCTCATGTGTAGAACTTTCCCCACGCTGTTAGGCAGTCGGGCCCTGACCTGGTACACCAACTTATCCAATGGGAGCATCTCCTCCTGGGAGGACTTGGCAAACAGATTCCAATCTCAGTTTGCGACGAGTCGCCCAGTACCAAAATTTGTGCACTCCCTTGAAAGAATCCGCCAACAGCCAGGTGAATCGCTCAGATCGTTCCTTGATTGATTTGATAAAGAAGCTCTTTTGGTTCAAGGTTTGGACCCCAAAGTGCAGGTCCATATCCTACTGTCCGGCTTAAGGCAAGGGGCCTTTACCTACGAACTCGCCCGTCACGAAGTCACAGATCTGGAGGAAGTTAAAAAGAAGGCTCAAGAGTTCATGAGAATTGAGGAATACAAGGGCAGCAGGGCTGACGACAACCTGAACCGCGAGAAGAAAACCAAGGTCAGAGACCCTGATGAAGACGAAAGAAAGGGGCATAAATCCCACGGTAAGTATACTGGTCGCCCAGTAGGGCGACATATAGGGTCGCGAACGACTCACAACGTCATGCAGACCGACTATCAAAAAGAAAGAAAAAATGACCCAGCTCGCCAAGAGACAGTTAAAGAGCCCGCCACATACTGCAAATTCCACCGCAGCAGTGGTCATAGTACAGAAGAATGTCGGTCCCTCAAGGAAGAAATTGAGGAATTAATCAACCAGGGGGCGCCCCGAAAATATGCCAACCCCCTAGAGAAACCAACTCTTCAAGGCGACGTCATGAGAGAAGCCGGTCTCCAGATACAAGGAATGATAGGAGGCGAGAATACCGAAGCCGCCAAGAGAGAAACAGGAGGGGAGACGAAATTCATTATGGCATTAACGGCCACCACATAGGAGGACGGTCTTTAGCAAAGATTGAGAGCTGGATACTATTGGCCGACCATGGAACAAGACACCCACGACCACGTTAAGAAGTGCGAGAAATGTCAAAGACATTCTGACATACACAGGGCCCCGCCTGAAGAATTAACCTCAATTACATCGCCTTGGTCGTTCTATAAATGGGGAATGGACCTCCTTGGACAATTCCCTAAGGCAGCCGGTAAAGTCCAATGGCTGATCGTCGCAATTGACTACTTCACCAAGTGCGTCGAGGCGGAACCCGTCGCCACAATAACTTCCCAGAAAGTCAGAAAATTCTTCTGGACAAACATTGTGTACCGTTTCAGCATTCCTGGCGAAGTCATCACGGACAACGGCACCCAATTCACAGACGCCAAGTTCAAAGAGCTGATGAAGAATCTCCAGATCAAACATCACTTTGCCGCCGTAGAGCACCCCCAATCTAATGGTTTGGTCGAGTCGGCCAAAAAAATGTTGTCAAAAGGAATCCGGAGGAGGCTAGAAACTCTCAAGGGAGCTTGGGTAGAAAACTTGGACAATGTCCTTTGGGGGTACAGAACTACCCCACAGACTAGCACTGGGGAAACTCCCTTTAAAATGACATATGGAGATGAAGCAATGGTCCCAGTTCAGATCGCCGAACCATCTTAGAGGAAGGAGCATGTGAGCGGAATATCCAATGACCAGAACCTTAAAGAAACACTTAACCTTCTAGACGAGTTCAGGGAACAAGCCACCCTTGCCGACTGTCGATCAAAAGAAAGAGCAACTGCCCGATACAACAAGAAGGTAGTTTTAAGAAGGTTTGAAGAAAGAGACCTAGTGCTCAGGCGGGCAAACATTGGGAACAAGAACGCCGAAGAAGGGAAGCTTGCACCGAACTGGGAAGGACCTTACCGAATAGCCAATAAGTTGGGAAGCAGAGCATACTCCCTAGAAACTCTAGACGGGAAAGCAATTCCTCGAGCATGGAACGCCGACAAACTGAAGAGATGCTACAACTAAGTAGTTGTAAATAACCACTGCACTCTTTTCCATTACCGGGTTTTTGTCCCAATGGGTTTTACCCAGAAAGGTTTTTAACGAGGCAGGCAGGTTAATAAACACCGTCATCCTATAATAAAAGTTTTGTCATCTATAAAAAAGTTTGTTATCAGCAGTACCATTTTTTGACCGCCTGTAAAAAATTTAAATAACAATCTATGG